CACGGGGCCTGTGCCTGACCGGGATCAAACCATGACCTCCTGGTTCACAGGTTGATGCTCAACCACTGAGCCACACTAGCTGCCGGCCGGGCTCAACTATTTTTTTTTTACATAGTAACATTCCCTCCTTTGATCACTATCTTAACTCTTAGCATATAATGTTCTAAATTAAGATTATTCCATGTGAAAATTCAGTTTCAAATTCTCAAATCACACACAACACAACTGGTTTTGTTTTAGAGGAAGCAAAACTGTCGATTGATTTATGATGATTTTTTTTTCCAAAGGGCTTTGGGATTTCAATATAATATTTAGAAATTCCAATAACAGGAAAATCCATTGCAATTTATAGACAATACTTGGTTGGGTCTCTTCTCCCTAAATACATGTCTGTGTACTGTACCTTAAATTTGGGGGGAATTGTATCATCTAATGTCTGTTTAATAGTGATAAAGATAAGAATTATACTGTCATACTAATTTAGGTTTTAAATCCTCTTGGTATGACGGCTGGTGGTAAATCAGTGTGTGGTACCCTAGAGCTGACACAGCCAGTGCACGTACCTCTACGAAAGCACAAGAGGGCGAAAGCGAAGGGTGATGCGGGCGCGTGTACTTTTGCATCTTTATGCAGCACAATTTCCCTATAATGATACATCAGAGCTGCCACCCTTGACTAACATGTTTTCTTATTTTCCAATGTCATATAATAACATGAATTTAATCCTGGCACATATTTTATATTAAGTAAGATGTCTCTAATAAGGAATGATATAATTTATTTCAATCTTACACAAAAAGTTAAAAAAAAAGCCTGTTAACCACAAACTTACCCCCTAGCTTGTAACAAGTTCTGTTATGCTGCTCATGTCAATGGCCATAAGACCCTGATATATTTGCCTGTGTCATGACTATTTGTGGTTGTCGCTGGAATGATTTCTTATAAGACCCTCTAGGGGGGTGGGGGCAATGCTTCTTGTAATATCTACGTTTTTAGGATCAGTAATATCAAATTACAGATCTGGAGGATGTGAAGTGAAAAGGTCTTGGATTAATTTAAAAAATAAAATATGACTATTCCATGGGCCAACTGTCAGTGAGAACTAAGCGATCTCTCTATTAAGAAGCCAGACCTGATTTTAGATCCATTTATATACTGCCAATAGAGGGTAGTGAATTCAACTAATGATAGGCCTTCTCTTGTCATTGGGGCAATATTATTCATTTCTAAGTATTTTTTCTTAAATCTCTTGGGCTGATATTGGTTAATGACGTATACGTTTCACATGTACAACTCTATAATCTGTCATCTGTATCTTGATTGCATCTCGTGCTCACCACCCGAAGTCAAGTCTCCTTCTGTCACCATGTATTTGACCCCCTTCCCCTCTTCAGCCTCCCCCTACCCTCTTTCCCTCTGGTGACCGCCATTCTATGGGACAATATCATTGTGACACATCCGTGTGCCTTAGGAAGTCCCTCAGCTCTGCTGGCTCACTGGTCACTCATTTACAAATGAGACAGTGGATCGTCTCTAATTCTCACTGCAGCTCAGGGTCCATGATTCCAAAGCATCCGTGAAATGACCGAGAAAGGGGGTCTCCCAACAGATTTCACCCCCGGGAGCCATCCCGGCAGGACGAGTCAGCACTGGGGATTTCATGAGAACGGTCAGGTAACTGCAAGGCACTGCATGCAACGTAGAAGTCAAAGAAGAGAAAACATATCTGTGGACAGTTAAGGATCTGCTCGCCATGCAGACAGCTCAAAGCCCTCTCAAATAAGAATTTTTAAAGCAAACACGCAAGCCACATTTTTTTGGTAATAGTAACAATGAACTGTCTTAGACATCAAGGCTAAATTGATGGACATTCGGGGGAAAAACCAATTACCTTTCACAGTCGCTGTCAGGTCAAACACACTGTAACCTCAATGGCTACACGTGCCGGGAGCCAACATCTGGGTTAGCTCCTCCCCAAGGGCAGGGCCGCCGGGCCTCTCGCAGGTCTGCAGTCTAACTTCCTGTTCAATCTCCAACAACCAATGTCCAAGTTGAGATCAAAACAGCAATTGCATGTTTCTTTAAATTTTATGTACTAAGAAATAACTCCTAGCAATACTTTCGAATTGAATGCTAACACGTTGTAGCACGTGTGTAACATATGTGTGGCACAGCTGAAGAAGTGTGATAACAGGATGCTTGCTGTGGCAGTCATTTGCATGTTCTGATGAAATGGCACTGAAATAATGATGTGATAATGAGATGTGCTGGATATTAATTATGAGTCTGGCACCCAATCCCTATCACTCTATGGCAGTTTTTACCATCCATCCAATATCAATGAGTTAGGGTCAACCAACTCAGAAAAATTTTACTGAATTTTAATTCTTGGTGAATTAAAAGGTCAGCATCTTAATAAATGTGAGTGATGTATAAGACAATGGCTGAAATACAAAAAGCCAATGAGGCCACTTTATGTATCTAACGTCCGGAAGGCCCCGTCCTCCCTCCTCTCTGCAATCAGGGCCCGAGCTACTGGAAATTAAGTCAGTGTTGATCAAGGCCACGAAAGACAGATGCGACTTAAATAGGTCACCTCTGTCTGTACCTGCCCTTTAGAGATACAGATTAATTAACAATTTGCTAAATCAAACAACTTCCTTTGAGTTTATTTTCAATGTGAGATTGATGGTGGACTGTGGTGGCTCTTAAGTGACTTCACGTGGGCGTTTCCTTTGGCTCCATCACAGCCCCAGAGGTCAGCTCACTCCCAGCTCATGAGTGAGAGCAGGACCTTGAAGGGTAAGGATGTGCCTGACTCCCATACGGGCAACCCAGTCCCTGACTTCAAGTCCAGGAACTCTTCTCTCTCTTCCAGTTGTTGCTGGTTTTAACAGTATTCCCCAAACAGAAGAAGTGGAGGTGATTTTTTACAAGTTTCATCTAAAAATAGATAATAAGGCCAAAAAGGTCAGGAGAATGTTTTTAAGTTCTCAGACTGTTCTAATAAGACTAGTTTATTTAAGATCCAGAAAACAGATTGGTGGTTGCCAGAGGCAGGGAGTGGAGGGAGGGGAAGTGGGTGAAGGTCTGCCATAACAGTCAAGCGTGTGTCAAGACCAGATGTTGTCTGGATCTCCCTGTGGAAAATGTTTATTCCTTTTATGAGGAAAATAAGGAGGAAGTGTGTACTGTTCTCTGTGGCTGCAATCCTACCCTACCGCTTTACACATACGAGGTCCTCATTCAGTATTTGTCCAGCGATTCTAAAAGTGAGATAAACTTTAATAATTCCATTCAAAGAATCAATAGCCATAGAAGGATATTTACTCCAGTTCCTTCACTGATTTAAAAAAAAAACATAATAGTCAAGAGCAACGGCACCAATCACGTGTCTCCTTGCCCATTGCCAGGGGGTTAATCTGTCAATTTTAACCACAGTGCTACTTCAGGATAGGTGCATCAGCTCTGTCAGGACACTGTCACCACCTTCACCAGTTTTTGAAAGTGTTATTTTTAGTATATATTCTGAGTTATTAAATAAGTTTCACTTGTTTGAGGTTTCACCAAAATCTGGAGTAAAGTCTAGCTATAACTTGTTACCAAAGGAATGGACAGAGTTGATGAAGAGATTCAGTTTAATTCAGTGTATGCACTTTATGTTGTATTGTCACTATGAAAGGGTGACCAGCTGAGGTGTTCAAGATAAGATAGAAAACACTACTGCTTCTCCTCAAAATTCTTCTAGAAGGGGACCAAATATCTATAGAAATTTGGGCTATGTGTCAGACATTCTCAAATATAATTCTATCGCTGTATTAGTTGAGTATGAGGATTAAAAATACTATTTCATGTTTATACGTATGTTCACACATGCCGGTCATCAGGTGTTCTGACTCTGATCATGAAACTATACCACAATTCACTCATTAGACACAATAAGCAAAGAGTGGCTCTCTCAGGAGGCAAATTCAGATTGTTGGTACATGCAGACATGCATCTGCGCCCAGAACACATCTTTATCCAACTTCCAGTTTTGTTGTGAAGATATAGTGAAGGGTAGTTGGGTTGTGAGAAAGAAAGGGAAGGAAAAGTGTATTCCTACTGGGGAAATGTACAAAACACCAATCATAAAAACACAAACTGTAGCTTGAAAGAGCCTACTGCTAGGTGAGTTACCTGGAAGATGTCTGCACACCTGGGTGTTCCCTGCAGTCAGGAACTGAGTTCCCCTTCTGACCACCAGGGTTAGAGCAATAACTGAGCGACACGTTTGCTCATCTCTTCAGTCCATGAACACCGTGTTAGTGACAAGTGTGGATCAATCATTGAAATACGGATATGAATGTGGTCCTAAAAGTTCTCTCTTGGTCTTGTTCATTCCTGTTTTCTGTGTGTAGCTGGCAGAGGACTTGCTAGCATCAGGTCAGGCACATAGGTGACGGTGAAGATATAGTTAAGGGTAGTTGGGTTGCATTCTTACTGAAACAGGATTCAGTTGTGACTCATTTTGCACAATCCACTCTAAAGATTCCAGTTCATGATTTCTAAAGTTCACAGAACATGTGTTCAGATTCATAAGATCAACACACGAATGAACCAGGCATTGAGATGCAGCGGATCATTCCTTGTACATCCCAACCACTGCCGTGGTGACTCCCCAGCAGGTTTATTCTCCTAATCCTCAGAGTTTCTTCTGTTTCCCATGCCACAGCCCGCGCCAGTGTCATATCTACAGCACCGAAACCCTTCGATATCGCACACTGTAAACAAAAGGTTCTTCTTTCCCAGTGGATGACACGTGTTCTCTCTCGACTTTTTCTCGGTGGCAGTTCATCATGCTGACCTACCTGTTCATGCTGGCCTGGCTGGGCGTGACGGCTTTCACCTCCCTGCCCGTCTACATGTACTTCAACCTGTGGACCATCTGCCGGAACAGCACCCTCGTGGAAGGGGCCAATCTCTGCCTGGACCTGCGTCAGTTCGGTAGGTGCATCTCTGAACAACATCTCACAGCGTTTTCCCCGAGTAACTGCCTCAGAACTACTGCCAATCACCTTCTGCCGAAGGGATGACGCTATCAGAGAATCCGTCCCCTTTTAAGGCATTGGTTTTGATTATGAATAAGCGGGCATTTGAGATGGAGTGGGAGTTGATCTCACATCATGAACATGGGGTCGCCCGTCCTGACTCCTCTCACTTTCCCAGGCTCGGTGCCGCCTATGTTCATGGTCCCATGACCAGCTGTACATATCATGAGGTCTGGTCAAAAAATCACCTCAGAAATAATTACTTCATTGTCTTCTGAAACAGGACAAAGATACTGAGCATTTTTTGTTTCGTTTTATAAATTTTTTCATAAAGAACTCATCAGAATTTCAATGTGGAAACAACCACCTAACCATATTCTATAAAGAGTTCAATTTCCCAAACTGCAAATCAAAATAGTCACATTTTCCCCCAAAATGTGTGTTTTAATATTTTATTTCATTTATTCTTTTAATTAGTAGAGCAGGAAACAAAGACTCTTAATAATTGATAGGTCACTATTATAAGTTTCAGTTTCATTTTACGGGTTAAAGTCTACTAGGTCTGATATTATAAAACCTATGCCAGCTTTCTTTTCATTAGATTTTTCATATAAAACACTTCATTCATACATTTGTAGTCAATATTTCTATATTCTTACATTTAAACTGTGTCATAGCTAAGCAATATAAAGTTGTTTATAGCTTATATTCAGAGGGGATTAAATTCACCTCTACACTAGACTGGGCTGGGAGCTCTAGCCATCCTTACCCTAATCCAATCAAGAGTTAAGAAGGTTTCAATCTGGGGTTGAGTCTCTGTTAAACTGGCCTATTCCATCTCACCCGGGGGGGGGTGGGGGGTTTCTGTACCTTGTCTAGCTTTTCTAGTTACACTCAGGTGGTAATAACAACAAAATCAAAGAATGTTAAATGAATCAGAAGTTCTCTTTGGTTATTTTTATTTAGGGCTGAAACCTCATGTAACAATACTGTTTTTTATGTGTGTATATGCTCATTCTGTGTGGGCCTTATCCTAAATGGTTTATATACGTTGACTTGTTTAATTCTCACAAGAGTTCTGTGTGGGGGACACTATTACTACATCCCTTATAAATGACAGTACTGAGGCACAGGAGGGTAAATGGCTTGCCCATGGTTACACATCCAGTAAGTGCCTGAGCAGGCTGCAATCCTGGCAGGCTGGCTGCAATGTCTATGTTCCAAGTTTTCAGTCAACTGCCTCTCCTGTTGAAGCAGGTACTGAATTACAAATGTGAAAAGGTCAAGTCCCATCTCACCTACCCTATTCGGAATTCTATTCCTTCATTTGTAAAACCATGGGAGCTACAGGTTTTATAAGAGACATGCAAATCCACATGTTCAAATAGACTTTTTTTCACAGAATGGCTATTAACATCTCACCTATTAACATCTGGGAACACTGTAGCTGGTTGACATCTGGGAAGTCTGTAGATGGTTGTCATCTGGGAATGCTGTAGATGGGAACGCTGTAGATAGTTAACATCTGGGAACGCTGTAGATAGTTAACATCTGGGAATGCTGTAGCTGGTTAACATCTGGAAATGCTGTAGATGAGAACGCTGTAGATGGTTGACATCTGGGAACGCTGTAGATGGGAACGCTGTAGCTGGTTAACATCTGGGAATGCTGTAGATGGTATTTTCCAATGAGGTTTTCTTGTGCGTCAGAAAAGCAGGAATCTTTCACCAGTCGGTGACTTCAGGCCCTGTGTCTCCACAGTGATAGTGTAGATAGAATGTGGGGGGTAGTGTAACTGTTCTGTCACCACCCCCATCTATTAGACCAAGTCCTCAGGTTCCTCTGTCTAACCCAGCCATGGGCAAACTACGGCCCACGGGCCGGATGCGGCCCGTTTGAAATGAATAAAACTAAAAAAAAAAAAAAAAAAAGACCGTACCCTTTTATGTAATGATGTTTACTTTGAATTTATATTAGTTCACACAAACACTCCATCCATGCTTTTGTTCCGGCCCTCCGGTCCAGTTTAAGAACCCAATGTGGCCCTCGAGTCAAAAAGTTTGCCCACCCCTGGTCTAACCCAAGTGAAAAGCAGATGATCTTCTCTGAGCATGAAGTTCTCAGCAAGAAGATGATGGGAGGGTATGGACAGCTCTCCCACTGGGTAGGTTTCACCCATGGAATCATGTCCCACGTGAACACAGGCAAAGGACACCTCAGCTGGCAGTCACCACGGGAGAACAGCTGCTCAGAAAACCATGGCTCTGTCCCTCCCTGTAGTGTCTTCCTTTTATTCTGCTCATCTGAAAAATTAAAACTGGAAAGGTGTGACTAGTCTCTCAGAGAGAGTTGCCAGGCAAAATACAGGACACCCAGTTAAGTGTGAATTTCAGCTAAACAAGCGATGTTTTTTCATACAGTATGTCTCAAGTATTGCCTGGGACATCCTTATGGTAAGTTCGAAGCATGACTTGGATTAGAGCTGCCCTTGAACCTTAGCACTGTTGACAGCATAGTCATCGAGATTTATTCCAATTTAACTTTCCTCCTGCCACGGAAGAGAAGACACTTTCCAGGTGTCATGCAACCTTACATCAGCGATGAAGCTTTCTGTTTTCCCTACACACAGTCTACTGTCTGATAGCTTCTATTTGCCCTCCAGATAGCACTCCTTCATAAGAAACTTGGATGTAAGCATGCAATCAAGCTAGCAACAAGGGGCATCAGAATAGAAAAGAACCGCTCCCCAAAAGCTGGAGTATAATCAGAATAGACATTTGCTAATTTCATCCAAAAAGTAATTGTGTAGCCCTAACCGGTTTAGCTCAGTGGATAGAGTGTCGGCCTGTGGACTGAAAGGTCCCAGGTTCGATTCCCGGCCAAGGGCATGTACCTGGGTTGCGGGCACATCCCCAGTAGTGGGTGTGC